GCCAGACCCCCTGTGGCAGTGACAGGCGAGATCAAGGAGTTGACGGGCAGAGAGATCATATAGGTCAGTATCCTGCAAGACACCACCTCCTGCTTGCAGGCACACTTACAAAAGACTACGCTGGGCAAGAGGGCAAATCTTGGGAACAATTCAGACGCAGACTCTGAACTCCAGGCATGTCAGCCTAAGCCCATCTGGCACAACCACAGGTGACTGCAAGGCAGGAGAATGCTGGATACAGGTCTGATTCTGCAACTAGGGCACATTTTACAACATCCTCAAGGCTACAGTAACTTCTGCTACCTGTCCCACTTGCAACAGCTGAATGCAGAGCATGTTTCGGCCATGATCCCAGGGCTGCAGGATGGTAGCATGTAAATAGCCTCCTGTGCTCACCAGGGACTGGATGGACCATGCTGAGATTTGCAAGCAGCTGCCAAGCAAAAGAAACAGAGAAGGACTGTGACATGACCCTCCACAGGGAGGAATATCTGAAACTTCTGACACTTAAAGCATATCAAAACATCTGTGGAAGAAGAACTAGGCTGGAAACTGGATAAGGGCTCTATTGGTATCCCATCATCTTCTTGACTGTTAGAGAGAAGTCTTCTCTCACTGGGTATTTGTCCCTCTGGACGCAACCTGGAGTAGAAATAGTAGTTTATTAAAACTTAAATACAGCTTTGGAAAACTTGCACAGACAAACAAAATGTTAATGCAAGTTTTGGCTTGGTCTTCACTGCTTGGGAAGTGACTCCTCTCCTGTAATAAGATGAGCTGTAGCAGGTCTGTTATTCTGGTCACCATAGGCCCAAGTATCACCGGCAACACATTCGAAGCACAGACCCTTCAGCACACCTGGTTCCTCCTTAAATCTCGCAAGCAGGGAGGGAAGGATGTGCAGGCAGCCTACAGAAACAACGCAATGTTGATGTTCTTTCCTGCAGAAATGAAGACTGTGAGGAAGCACAGGAACAGACTACTACACGGAAGCTGCTCTAAGGAGAGAGCGAGCTGTTCTCCACCTCAGGACAGAAGTACTCAGCTTTAATGGCAGCAAGGAAGACGAGGTACAAAGGATAACTTTCTAGCGGATAGAATAACAAAGCACCAGAACAGATTGCAAGCAAAAGTCCTTATCAGCTTTGGAAACCTTTTAGATCAAGCTGGGCAAACATTTGTCAGGAATGGTGTAAGCCAAGTTGATTCTTACTTGGACAGGGAAATTGGGCTAGGTGACTGTCAAGCTCTCTTCCAACCCATTTTGATCTATGGCCCTGCATCAAGGAACTGAGTGCTGGGCAGTAAGCCACACACATTCAGTCACCTGGGTCCCCAGAGATTTCCTGTGTCACCCTAAGTGGAGTCACTCTCTATCAGCCCCTCACCTGGGAAGCAGTCTCATCCCTACAAGATTACAGGCTCGGCTGAGAGCACTGTGAGGATAAACACATTTCTTTGACTCTCTAAGGTCCCAAGAACATCTCTTTCACTCCACATCTGGGGTGGAAGACTGAAAACACAAGTGGTACTTGCACTTCAGGGTGCTTACATGGAAATTACATCAGAACAAGAATGGTACACTATCTCTGTCCTCCAGAATACTAGAGATTGTTCAAAACCATGGATTAATGTAGGCCTAGGGGGGCTTCAGGCGTCCCATTAACAGCATGAGGTGCAAACCCAGTCCTGTATCACAAGCTGTGAGGTCCCCTTCCAGCTTCCTTACGTGAGCCCTATGCCAAAGCTGTTTTACTGGCACAGGAATAGAGGTTCAAGCCCGACTTTGCAGCTGCACGTACAGTGAAGCCCTCTGTTGACCCCAGTTCTCTCACTGGGGGACTGCATCTTGCCATGCTCCCCACACAATGGGAAGCCTGTGGCAGGACCGTTCTCCAGCACAGACACACCTAAGCTGGAACCACAGCACCATCTGCAGGGCTCTGCCAAAGGCCAAGCTTTTGCCAGCTCCTTCTCAGGGAAGACCAGCATTATCCTAGTAGATACTTCATACCTGGTAACTCGCCAAAACACAAAGGTGAGCACACACACAACCACACTCTTCGGGATCCTGGAGGAAACCAAAGCCCCCCTCCGAAAGCACCACTTCAGGAAACAAATCACTGCTTTGATACAGTTCCAAAGACCCAGTAAGTTCCTAGAAAATTAAATGTACGTCAGATACTCGATTACGTAAAATGCCAACTGAAATGTCAGCCTTTGGTGGCTTCAGGGAGCAGCTATGTCTCTGCAGAGAGCTCACGTGCACAGTATATTGCTGGCGTCAGCTAAGCCTCCCGCTCACAGGCAACAAAGACAACACAGACACAGTCCAGTGCCTTAGCAAGGGCATTGGGAATGCTTGTGGTTCCTTAAAACCACCATCTCCAAAAAGCTTTGCAGTGCTTCTGTACCAAAATGAGCCTGCGCCAATATGCATAAAGCACTGAAGAACACATTGTACTACACCAGCACATTCCCTCAGATGTGAGTCTTACAAATAAATCCAGCCTCTTGGGAGGAAGAACAATTTTTCATTCTTGTCTTTATGAGAAGGTCAGCAGCACCACGTGATTTTCCAAGACATATAACCACTACGCAATGCAAACCCACAGAAATGCAAACATTTTTATTATTGCTTTAGCTATAAATATAGGAATTTAACACTTGTCCTACTGGATTAGACCAAGAATCTGTCTTGCAGAAAAAGCATCCTGCTCAGAGCTCAGAGAAGTGATTGATTGACGCTCCAAGAAAAGGCATGCTGCTTTCTGCAGCTCAGCCACCAGCACTCTCAGAGGGACATCTAACTCTAGCCTGCTGCAGGCAATCAGCCTACCCCTTGAAGGCTGCAATATGATGCCATTTAACACTCTCATAAGCCAGTAAACTATCCAGTTCTTAAAGTATCCTGCAGAACTAAGCTGTGAGTGTTGCTGTTTCATACATAAACACTGCTAACACAGACAAAAATCTGTGGTTGTGGTTTGAACATCTGTAAACTCATTTCTTTAAATTTAATTTTTAAACATAGTCTGACAAACTGAACTTTAAAAAAGACCCTAAACTACTACTAAAAAAAAAACCCAAACCAAACAACCAAAAAACACCCCTTTGACTACAATTTGTACTCACAGCTCGAGCAGGCAAAACTGCCAGAAATCAGCTGTGCTGGAACTTTATTTTCAAACCTAGCATCAAGTGCACTTTAACTGAACTTTTTTAGTCCTCTCCTTCCCTAGATTTCCTCTACTGTGTTTAAGTAGGACAGGTACTGCAGTCCTGAGAAGGCTCATAACTTCAAGTAAAGAGTGTATGGGATATGGCAAACTTCTGAGGCACACAGAGCAGTGGGGAGGATAACTGCAATGCAAGCGGTACGATGGGGTGAAAGGCCAGTCTGTGAACAGAGCTGTAAAAGCCCAGAGGGTGGGGAAAGGATCCAGCTGGAGACCTGAGCGCTGGTACATCACAGAGCGCTTGGGTATCTGTGGAAAAGCAGGGCCGATGTTCAAGAGTTAAAGAGCAAATGAAAGTGCAGGGAGTGTGAGTGGTAGAGGGGAAAGGGACTAGATGCATTACTGCTCACATAAAGCCCTCTGAATCCACCGCAGCCTTCCAAAGAGATGCAGTTTGCTGATGCATCTCTTACCTAATGTTTATGGCTATGCAATCCCAGTTCAGCCTGGACAGAGAGCCTGACAGCACCTCCCTGGCACACATGGATTGCAAAGGTCACGATCTGGACACTTCCATCCATACTGAGCGCTCACCTCCACTTGCCCAGCAACTGCTTCCATTCAGATCGGTACACCAGATCCTTTCATTTGTTTTCTTTCCTTCCTCCCCTGGCTAGCTATGGTCAGGAAGGGAACAGGCAACATAGGAAACACCAGCCACAACAAGTAGCAGCTTGAATTTAATCCTGCCATTATAAATAATGTCATGATGTTGACTGTCCATTTCAGGGACTTCTCTCAGGGCTCTCTGCCTGTTTCAGGCAGCCCTACCCCAAGTCATCCTTCCCAAAGAAACAGAGCTCAGCTATTCCCATGGCTGTCAAAAGACTGGGTCCTACTCGAAACTTAGCTTGTTGTAGAATTTTGTACAAGTCATTTCAACTCCCATTTTTCAACTTCTCCATCTGCAAAACCGGAGTAGCAATTCTGGCCTTATTTGCAAAGTCTTGCATTTAAGTGCCTTACATGAAGTTAGGCATTTCTACTATCAGAAGCAATGTGCAGGTGCCAGGTGTTTATTCAGGTCTGCTAGCATATTTGAAAACGTAATTGCACAGCAATTTTTGTAAGGTCACTGACCTGAAGCACTGTCTTTATTACAATGTTCTGTTTCTGGCAGCATCTATCAAGTGTCAGGTGCTCAGGTGCTGTAGATTCAGATAGCATAACATGTGCACTTATACTTCAATGACATGTCACTCAGCAGGACTGGGAAATAAAGGCTGCTTTGCTGTCGGACATCTACTCCAGGATCCTGGAATAGAACTGAATCTGAAACATGCATATCCCATTATACCTGCAAATCCATGTGCCAATATAAGCCAGAGTGTAGACCTATCATCCAATCTGGTCACATTCCTTATAAATTTACCTCAAGGCAAAAAAAAAAAAAAGTAAAATGCCTTCTAGGTCAAATGGGTGATCTGATGTGTTGAGAAGTTCTATTTTTAATGAAATATCTGGAGCTGTGAACTCTTCCATATTGGGTCCTAAAATTAATGAGTCACTTTAGCAAACTAAAAAGTTGCATGCAGTTCCCTGAGGAAGGTGAAACACTTCTATATGCTCTGCTGAACTTCTGCATCTCTGGATGAAGCCTGTACGAGGAAACGAGGGGGCCTGCCACTGCATGGAGAGTTCAGTGCACTGGGAAATGAAGTGAAGTGGAGAGTCCTTTTGCCACGCAGTTTTCAACAAGCTCTTCAGCAGGGCTCACCAGCAAAAAGCATACTGCAAGAAGAGTTATTTCTGGTACAGTTGTCATCTGCTTTGTTTTTGGATATGCAGAAACCTAGGTCTGTGGGAAAAAGAATGACCAGAGCTTTAAGTCTTGCTAGGGAGAACGTGCCTCTACCTCCTTCCTGTATAAGCAGCAATTTTCCAGTGGCAATAATCTCACCAGAGCTAGTCATCCCATCAGAAACGCTTACCTGTGTCAGAGCTTCTCACTCAGAAACACTTGCCAGGCTAACTCAGGATATGAGAAGGTTGAGAGACTTGAAGGGAGCCCCTATTTTGTAAAGATTGGTTTCAGCTGTGGACCTTCTCTGGCTGAGTTCATTCAATACATCAGAGCACAGGAACATAATCTACAAAGGACACAGAGCTACACCTGAAGCAAAAATCTGAAGGTAAAAAAGACTTACTTGCCACAAAAGTCCTTGTGAACAGCACGGAGAACGAGTAGTAAGTTGGGGTGTGCCTGTAGCCACTTCTCCACCATATTTGGGTGTCTGGGATCCACTTCCAGAAACACACTCCTGAAAGGACACATTTGGGAGGAGAAATTGGGGAGATGCAAACATTTAGGTTGCTAAACTGATAAAAATTAAGGTCTGCCTTTCTGGATGACGCCTACCAGCGCAGCAAATGAGGTTAGCAAACACACTGCAATCCAATAATCCTAAAACAGATCACAGCTGTCCATTTAAGATGCAGACCCCAACTGCCTCCTTCAGGAGGAGAAAATGTTGATCTTGGAGGGAATTCTCATGGTAGTCCTCTGTGTGAGCAGTAAACCCTTGTATCAAGACGTAAGGACCCCTTTTGAACCCCATGCAGAGATACTGCCAGCTCTGGCTTTCTGAAGCCTACAAAGATTTAAGGCCAGAATGAAGTTTTATGATGCCAATGCATGAACCCTGAGCACTGGACTGGCAGTATGAAGTTCCTCTTTGTATAAGCAGGGCGACATTAAGTCGCAGTAGGGACAGTCATAAAAGTACAGGTTACTACACACATTTTCCCACAGTAAATGTCTCCATAAATCAGTTATGAAAACCCAATCAGCATTCAGACCTACACAGAGGACTGTACAAAAGAGTGCAGCAGGGATAAGGGAACTAATCAGACAACCACATTTAGTGCACCAGAACTAGGCCTGGACACTGCAGGGCTATTTCCACCTCTGCTGCAGCTGGGCTCTATGACACTGGCCCATTTCTGAGGCTCCACTCCCGCGGCAAGGCAGAACCACCCTAGTTTACAGGCAGCAGAGACAATGGAACTGGTTACAGTCTGCGACAGTGTAGCAAGACACAATTTTAACAGGCAAGGAACAGAGGCCAAGCCCCTATCATACTCTCCTGAGAATTCCCAAAACATCCTACATTGAATACTCCCTATAAATTCACCAAACTAACTACAAGCTGGGTGTGGATCTCCTTCCTGACCTTAAAAAACTTCCACTCCTCAATAGGAGCTCCAACTCCAAGCAAAAAGGGAAAAAAAAAATCCTAACAAACAACCCCACGGGATCCATCTCTGTTGCTGGGAAGTTCTGATGAGCATCTTTTGCTCTTGTGGTCATGCAAAGCACAAGGAATGATTTCTCCTGCATGCAGAATGCCTCTCAATATTCCTGTTCCTCTTCTCAAAACAGCAGATTTTCAATGAACTCTCTTACACTGGTAAAATGTTAGGAATTTTCAACAAGATATGTGAATGTCCTGGCACAACAGAATTTTGGGTATCAGCATGTTGAGCTTTAAGCACAAAATGGATCCCACATGACAGAGAATAGGAACAATCAGTCTTGAGTATTAACAATGGAGAAATTTAACATTTAAGAAATTATCCCTGGTTGATCTCCTTCCTTCTGGGATATTCAGCATTGTATCCTGCCACAATAAACAAGTTTCCCCTAATTAAAGGGTGGGAAGGAAGTAGAGATCTACATCCATTCTCACAGAGTTCTATATCATTTCCCGTTCAAGCAGTTATTCTGCTTAGAAAGCTTCCTTCCCCCCCACCTCCCTGTCTCTGCTGCTCTTTCATGTTCTTTTTGTTGCTGCTTTGACCTTTAAAGATTCTGAGTTCACTAATAGCTATGAAACACCACCACTGGTCAAGAAAGGTTCGTATCCCTTTATTAACCAATTTCAAGCTAATTTTGCTTACACACAACATTTTTTAAACTGCTATTATTAGATGGGGTGGACACATTTTTGCAACTGTTTTCCCTCTGTACCATTCTGGATGAAAAGAAAACAGAAGTTATAGAAGCAAATGCACAAAAGACATGAAATACAGAGAAGAGTGCTTACCCAGAATCCTTCAGAAGAGAAGGAGCCAGAGCCAGAATTGTTTTGATTACTCTCATCCCATCATGTCCCCCATCCAGCGCGTCAAGGTCCTCGTAGCTGGAGTGTGGGAATAAGAAGCCATTAACAGCAATTCATGTGGCACGAGCCACATCCTTGAGGATGCATTGCCCCACAGTCCACAGAGAAAGGTGCACCCAACACACCTGAACTCCAGTACTCCCACAGCAGGTGACAGCACTCATAGCTTTTATGTAAAATACAGGGAGTAAGAAGGCAGCTACCGCTAGGCTGAGAAACTCCATGTTGAGAACAAGCAGAAAACACCCCCTGAACTCTTCCTGAAAATTACGACCCAGCCGCAGCCAAGGTCACACAGTTCCAACACATGGATCTCTTCTCTCTGTGCTAGCCAGACAGGGAGAGAGTGCGTTGTACAGCTTGCTTTATTTCATGCCAACAACCAGGTTGGACGGTCTTTTAACCTATCAGACCATATTAGAATGTAGAAAACTTTCAGAATCTGCTCTGATACACATCTTGTACAATGCAGGGTGCAGGACTTTGTCCTGACACACATGACAATAAATTCTGAGGAAAAACCAACACACACAAAGTAGTTCCACATCCCAAAAGAGCTTATTCATGTTTGTGTTGATTGTTTGCTTAAGATAAGTATTGGGATAAGTGTGGGTCACAGCATTTCCACACAAGCCTTTTTCCTATCACAAAAAGCTGCTCAGATTGCTTGCACTTTCTTTCACAAACTCAGACCAAATATTAAAAAAAAAAAGGCACACCCCCCGCCCCCCACCCCCCCAACAAACAGGTCTAATAAAAAATGTTCTGAAAACAGTTTTGGATTGGAAACTTCTTAAGTTCAAAGTGTGTGCTTTTTCCATTTATATAAATATTTAGAATACTTTGATATTGTCTCAGACCTGTAAGCAGTATCAAAGTAACACCGTGTTATTATATGCCATATAAACACACCTACACTATGTACATGTATACTACATTTGCATGGTTTTGTGTGTAGTACAAGGAAGCAGACAGAAAATCTTGCTTCAAGGAACATGAGAAGAAAAAATTCTTTGTCTGATTACCAGAGGATTTCTGTGTCCAAGGAAGCCATGTCTTCATGGAAGACATATGGGGGGTTACTGACTATGAAGTCTACGGGGCCCCAGAGTAGCAGCTGCTTGACAGAACCTAGAGAAGAAAAAGAATCACAACCAGCTCTCAACAACAGCAGTCTGCCCTATAAGCTCAGTGTCAAAATCCTATCTAGGAAACTGTCCCTCCAGACATGTGCCCATGTGTTTGGCTCTGCTTTTCTCTAATAAGATTTTATCCTATCTCTTTTTGGGATAGCCTGGCCTGCTCACTCTCCCACCTTGAATGCAAAAGTGATACAAAGCTAAGCACAGGCAAAGTATCATTTTTTTGTATCAATGGCCCCGCTTAGCGGAACATGTTCCAAAGCAAAGGACCTTGTTGCGCTGAAGCTCTGTGCCCATTTGGATCTAAAGGTACAACCAGAACTTGACAAAGCCCACAAAGAACTAAGTGGGAGCTTAGACTAGCTGTCAGGATGCATATCCTTCCTCTTATCAGAGCTGCAGAAAGACCTCTAATGAGCAAAAGAGCCAGGCCCTCTCAGCAGTATCAACCATCTAATGGTTTGCTCTTCTGCAGACAAGGTTCAGCTCACTACGCTCATGCTGCTGTCTGGACTGACACATACCCGCCCTGAATCCAGACATCATGTAACCATGTGAGTGTGGCACTGCCCTCAGCCTTTTAACACAGGGCTTACCTGTGCAGGTGCAATGCCAACACAGCTACGTGGCTTTTGGACTGGAGCTGGCTGGCTTACTGCTGTTTGGAGTATAGGCAGCACAACTCGGATTTACAGGCAGAAGACTGTGCAGACATACCCCTAACAGGTAGTACAGTGTCAAAAACAATAGTGTCAGGTGCACTAATGAATCCACAATGCTGGAGCTCCTGGCTAAGAAACACCTGAGCACGTATCTACTTAACTGGATAAGTCTCACCAAACAGCAGTTTTAACTGGTTTCACCTGGGTCCAGTGAAGACAACAGGTATCCTTCCCTGGTTCAGCTCACCTAATTTCAGGTGACTAAGGCTGGACATTTAAGCTAAGCTAAGCATCTGGGCTCTCTCTGACATCAATGGAGAGTCAGGCACATACACGTTTATCTAAAGCATCCACACCAGTATGGAATGAATCACACTCTGTATATATTTGCCTCTCCCCAGTAACACTAGAGAGCCCTGAACTACCAGCTCAGACACAACCTTTAGACACCTAAAACCAGGAAAAATTCACCTTCTGATGTAGTCAGAGACTTCTCTCAGCTAATGATCTGGCGTGGAAATCTCTGAAGGCAAAGCTTCACTGGTTCAGCTCTTACTGACCTTTTTCTCTATTAACTTCAACACCGTCCTGACATCTGCATCCCAAAGGGGTCCCTTGTCTGTCTCTCATGCCTGCTTCCCCCCATCAAAGTAAAAAGGGAGAAAGACAAACGGGATTATAACATGAGAAGACTTACTGTATGAAACATCATGGTGGAGGATGCAGATCCTCTCCTGGAGTTGCAGCCTGTAAAATTCCAGACGCAAGAACAGAAAGATGAAAGATTAGGAGGCATGTTTGTGTGGATTCATAAACAGCACCTTCTATAAACAGATCATTAAATATCATACCTTTTACCTGACAAACGTATATCCTGCCCCACTGACTGCAGCTGGATTCCTCTCAAGCCACAAGGGAAGTTTATGATCTGCTCTTTGCCCAAGGAAGAAAATTCAAAGCAAAGAGCACACTCCACAACTATGCTGATTCCAAGATGCAGCTCCTGTGCACCCAAAACCTTTATGTATCACCCCCTTGCCATACATATAGCAGTACTGCCCCACTCTGCTGCATATTAACTACATCTCCAAGGCCTCCCCCAGGTAAGCTCCCTGAAAAAAACAATCAATCAAACAAATAAACAACAAAAAAAAAACCAACAAAAAACCCCAAAATACCCCACAACAAACTGACCTGCTTCAAATATGTAAACCTGCTATTGTAAGCAGAGACAACATGCTCGCGTTTCCCACATTTTTTTCTCCAGCCTCCTAGACCTTAACAGTGTTCTGGCATCTAAGTGTATTTTCTAGGCATCTTTGGATCTTATCTCACATGCAAACGTTAAGATGATGAGATGTTACTGCACACTACTGGGAGGCCAGCACATGAAGTGCAGCAGAACCCTTGTGTCAGACACAGAGCTAGGAAAAAAAAGACTCCTTTAGTAACAGCTCGTACACAGACTGTACAGTATAATGGATTTAAAATACACACTAGGACCTCTCAGATACTAGTTTCTAACTCATGATCTTTCTTGCCCCCGATATCTCTGTTCACATTAATTGGGAAACACATGTTCTGGCCAGTGCCTTCCATCTGCAGCCAGATGTCCCCAGGGTACTCACACCAGCAGAACCCCTGAAGGCACGAGAAAGACACAGACACCTCTCCTTTACCTGTGACAAGTGAGCACGGAAGCATGCTGGCTTGCTATTTTTAAGAAACAGGTCTACAAAGGCCTTGGTATTAGGTAGAAATCTTGGCCAAGATTCCGATCTCTCTGACTCACTACACTAATCCAAGGTGGAACAGCCTTGAGATTGCCAGACTGCCACTGCATGGTGCTTATGGTGCTCCAGTCTGTCACAACCTGGCACAATCTGTCCCTAGGTCTCACCTTGCTATAGAATATGCTCCCTGCCAAGGAAAAATAGTTGAGATGGTGATGCCCTTAAATCTTAGGAATCCTGAGCAAAGGTCCCTTGATGCTCCTGGGACAGGAAAGAGAGGCCAGTTTGAAAGTAGCCTTGGTGCTTGGTGGCAGCATGAGACAACAGGAGAGGTCACAGAAACAGAGGGCATGAGACAGCAAAGGAGGAACAGAACCTCTAATTCCTCAGCCTCATGATCCACCCATCAAAATACCTCTCTTTTCACACCAGTTTTGCCTCTGGCGTTTGTGAAGGCATTTGAGCAATGTCAGAGGAAGCACTTGGCAAAGTCATAAAGACAAGGTTGGTCAAGATCTACTGTTGGAGAAAGACTCCAAGCCTCCCACAGGAGATGCCATTCCCAAACCAGCAACAGCACATTGTGGCAGGGCACTGTCCCCTAACTGTCCTTGGTGCAGTCAGTATCTAGAGAAAACAAAACTGCCCAGCTCTTCCCAGCACATTCTCTCTTCCCACCACAGTGGGAGAGTTTTCCTCCCAGCTCTTCAGCATAACCCTCTCAGGGCTACCCAACAGGGTTCATGGAGCATACTGTGACAAAGGCTTTATACCCAAGTCCTACTTGCCTTTGCCGAGAGCCTGTGGAACTGCCGTGTCAGCATACACAGGCATGAAGAAAGGCAGCGACTGCTCCATCTGTTCACAGTGTGCCCAGATGGGCCATGGGGCATTGGGATTGATTTAATGAGAGCAAGACTCACCTAAGCCTCTAGAGAACACAGCTGTGATAATGGAGCTCTGAAAAGAAGGCAGGAATGAAGCTGGCTTCAGTCAATCAGTAATACAGCTTATCCTACAGGCTTCTCTCCCAAGAGCTACAGGGCACCATGCCATGGACAAGATCACAAGGACACCATGAAAACATCCACGGAGAAATATGAGGTTCTCTGGCATGGCATTTACGCTCCCTCATCTGCTCTTGAGACAACAAGCAATGCTAAGAAGCAACATGATTTCTCCCAGATGCCAGAGCAATAATCTATCAAGGATACAAACATCTGATCAGATTTTATTATATCTATGAAAAATTGCAACAGAACTTGGTTTGACACCGATACATCAGAAGGAAATCTCTGTTCCCTATTCCCTATAACTGGACTAGGAGGCAAACAGTAATAGTGAGGTGACAAGTTTGGGAAGGGCTTGTCCCTACACATCACTTCAGACTCACATAAGAGCTAGGACTGGGTTGCAAGAAGTGAAAAGATGCAGGTCAGTGCAGCCAGAAACAGAAGCAGCCTGTCTCTGTAGCCCCAGTGCTGGCAGCAGCTTGGGAAAAAAGGGTATGTGGGCCCTGTGGACAGAAGTGTCAGTTAGTGAGCACCACTTAAGACTCACAGCTGTATCTCCATAAAAGGCAGCAACAGGAATCCTTTCTAGGATGCCTAGGGCCCAGCAGTTACTGAGGATACGAATACATACTAGAACCCTGTACCTTTTACAATGTCTACAGAGACTGGCATCCTGGACTCAAAAGTATACTGAGATTGAAGCTCTGGGGCTTGCTACATTAGTGACAGTCCAGAATAACCTGAGCTAGGAAGAACTAGCTGAGGAAGCAGAGCCATTAGGAAGGACAAGGTCAAGCTGATACAGATCTGTTCTGACTTCAAGCACAAGATGTTTGATTCAGCAGCTCTGAACATCCAGCCAAAGCACAGGTGTCACCCAAACAGCATGGGACCCAGCAGCACCAGTCTCACCGAACTCAAGACTGCAAGGAGTATGCTGAGGAATACCACACTAGCACATCAGAGTAAGAGCGCAAGCTTGTATCTAGAGAAGCAATGACAGAAACAAGCATGGCAATAATGATATAGGGAGCCAGAGAGAGAAAGGTTCAGGCTATACTTGTCCTTAACCTCCTAAGTGACATATACATTCTTACTACCTGCTGCCTCAAGTTTCCCAAGTTCACAGAAAATTATAAGAGTAGCTGCCGGGAAACATTTTGAAAACCCTTGGAAGGCAGACAGCACTATTGCTTTATTTAGGCTGCTGTCTTTGCAAAGCACATTCACAAGTCAAAGAAAAAAATACTCTGGTAAATACAAGCAAATATAAATATAAGCTTTTTTTCCTGAATTCTTACACACTTTAGGACCTCAACTAACTAAACATTCTCCATTTTCCAGGGGTGATAAACATGAACCACATGTCCAAACATTGAGGACTCCTTGTCTTTCTCAAACAACAATTTACAGAAAAAAAAAAAAAAAAGCAACATGCGGGCTTGTACCTATGTGCATTCTCCCTGGTGAGAACCACAGCAGCCTCCTCTTTGTCCGTGGCTATCACTCGGCTCTGGGACAGAAAAGAGAAACAAACCAAACAAGTATTACAACATCAAGGTTCCTGAGCAGACACACTCTGCCAAAAAGGACATGCAAGATAAAAATTGACAATTGACTACTCACTCTCGGCTCCTAAAAGGAATAGCTCATGAAGAATGCATCTCAGGACACTGGTGGGATCACGAGTCACTTCTAGTAAGGCTGCTAATGTGATAGAAAGCACTCTGCAACACTGCCAGCAGCCTACCAAAACAGACAGGCTTCTGACCAAACCAACTCATCTGACAACGGAGTCACACTGACTCACATCACCCAATATATTCATAGCTCCTAGTAGTGTGAGACTCAACACTCTGGCTAGTGTGGAGTAGACACAGGTTAAAGGAAGATCATGTCACAGACTTCTCCCTAATGCAGACAGAATCCCTCCCAGCATTAACACAACCACTCGGACAGAGGTTCTGGCATTTTCCTTCTGTTACGCAGACACCTTTTGCCTAGTTACTCCACCGCAAGTCCTTACACCACATTCATGCGTGTATTGACTGCATATACTTGACTGTGTGTCAAGTATTTGAGGGTCCTCCATCGTAACATTAAGAGATACGACTACACCATTAGAGATTTGACCTTCCATTCCTCCTTGGGAAAAGTGTAGGCAAAGGCCTGACTTGGTTTTGCTTTGCTTAATGCTTTTTAAACACAGATATTGGTAAGTATTTACATAGAGAAAGCATGCTTAAAGAAACTACTCTGCATTTGGAGATGATGGTATGATTCACCATCATTCCTCACGGGATTAATTTCACAGCCTGAGACTAGCACCCACACACATGAAGCTCACACTTAAGGTGAAGGACACAGCCAGGTCCACGAGTGAAAAGTTGCTGTTGTTTTCTCACTACCCGAGTGCAAAATTCCATCTCAAACACTAACGAGACCACACAGAGTGTAAACTCCACTTAGCTGCCAGTGTGGCTACCACTAACCCTAATCAGTCAAGGCTCCTTATTTCTCTGAGCGCAGCAGTTTGCGTTAGCCAGCTGGGAAAGGACTGTTATCAGTTACAGGGACAGACTGACACAACTTTAACTTAACATGCAAGGAAAAGACCATGAAGTACAGCTCAGGAAATCACAGTAATTATACTTTGAAGTCATGAAGCTTAAGTATTAACCTTATCAGGTCACCAGGAGGAGGAACACAGGCATCAACCTCTAATTGTTACACACCAAGTCTTACACTTCTACAAGAGGAGGGGCTTCTTGGGGCCACAGCAATTCTCATTCACAAGAAGGAATTGGCTGGTCTGCAGTTCTGAGGAAAGGGGAGTATTTTTCCCTTAACCACATGCGATGAGATCTTTGATTCATTTCTCTTTCTGTTTACCAACAGTATCCCAGTAAGCATGCTACATGTGGTATTACATGCCACAATAATGAGGAGCAAGAAGGGCTTTGGTCACCCAGATCTCAGTCCCCTTCCTGCTCTTTTCACTGTGTTCAAAAGGGTGGGTTGTTGTTAGGGAAAAAAAGACTTCAAAAAAGTGGCTTGGCGGTGTGACATATGCTTGTCGTATTGACCTCAATTACTGACACTTCTGTGGTAATCCCTTCCCTGTATTCAGTTAGTCTTCAGTCTCCTAGAGACAAGATTTTGATTCACAGAAAGGTGAATGACTGCCCCACAAATTTGACTAATAGAGTGTGTGCCCATAGCTCAGTACCTCTTGCCCACAGCCCAGGATATTGGCTTAAACCAAAACACCCACCAGCGCTTCAAGCTAAGGCAATTAATAGCAAGCTGTGACAGCTGAAGAATGAGTACATTCGCTTCTTTCATTCCAACTATGTCTCTGCTACTCCTGCGGAGAGCTGGAGAGAGCAATTCTTAAATATCCCTCTTCTACCTAGCATGAACTTCTAGAGCCTGTCAGAGACCTTAGCTGCTGAAGTCCCATCAAAATAGTTTGTCTGTGAAGTCTCAATGAAGACTAGTAGAGTGTGACTGTCCTGTAACACAAGCATCTATTGCACCATGAGCACTGAAAAAAGCTCACCTGTGGGAGTTTGCACAACAGACTCAGAGCAACTGCTCCAGAGCCACAGCCAACCTCCAGGATCACAGGATGAGGGACAGGAACTGGGAAGCAGAGGCCTGAATTCTTCTCACATTTCCAAGACTCCTCCTCCACAACTAAAGAGACAAGATCCTAACAAAACAAACAAACAAAAATTTTCTAAGGGAGCACTTTTGACTCATACCTTTGTGGTCTGAGGACTGGAGTTTAAACTTCTTGACTCTATAGCCCAATGAAATGTATTTTGCTGCTAATTTTTAAAACACAGATGGCAGTAATGGAACTGACATGCCAGAAGTCACTTCAGCTCCATCTCCCCCCCAGGGTCCTTTGATTAGTAACAAAATTCTCAGGATACAATTTCCCACAGATCCTCTGAAATCTTCTACCACTGTTAGGAAAAACAATAACCAAACAGCTGGAGGACATTATCTTCTGCAACACCATTTTATTTACTCCAAAATTCCAGCTTTCAGAATTTATAAGCTTGAAAATGGAAGATTTCTACACTGTCTCAGTACAGCATGTAATCTGAAGGCAGAGGCACAGCTCCTATTAGCATCTAAACCAATAATCCAACCTGCAGATGAAATGCAAAGGCAATGAATTACTAAATGATTCAGATGAGCAGCTCCCTACATGGATTTCAGATTGTAGACTCCTGCTACATTTTGTTGGTATAAAGTCACATGGAAAAGATTTTCATCCATGCTCCAGGATCCATATGCATCTCTGACATCGCTGCTTCCTCCCTCCCATCAATCTCTTCTTTTTAAAATCCTTTTACAATTTCATATAAAATCCAACACAGCAGGAGAGGTCTCCAAGATACACAATTCTAAGGTTTGTGAAAATGAGCGACTAGCTACAAGAGAAAGCACACATGTGCCTCCCTCAGACTGCAGCATGAACTTCCCTTGCTTTTTACCTTGAGTGCATCAGCAGCTTCGGCAGGTGCTCACGACTCCCAGCAACCCTTGTGCTTCCATGGCACAACAGTACAGAAACAAGACCTTACTTCCCAAGGCGCTCCCTTGATGGCTAGGTTATTTCACTTGACAGGTCCGCTCTTGGATCTCTCCCATAAATCAACAAAGCTTAACAAAATTTACACAGAATAAGTGGCTTGATTTTGCCAAGAGTTAAAAACTAAAGGCATTACCAGGAAAATTACTGGCCTTCCATTTTTACAAGGAATCTTCATGTTCTTGGCATCAG